CGTCTGTGTCGGCATCTTCAAATTGTTGCATCAAGGAGCGAAGTGTTTTGCATGCCTGGGTTCGGAGCCCACCAGTGCTCGAGCATCAGTTCGAGGAAGGGTGGTGCGGCAGCTTTTGACACATTGCCCGTGGTGTTGCGGTCATCCCGATACAGAGCCCACTTTTTTAGCCACTTGATCTACATGCACCACAACAAAGACAGTTAAAGTTACGATCACAAAGTTAGCACTTCTTTCGACAGCATTACCTTGTCCTTGTATTGTGTGACGGTGTATGCAGTGTCCTCAGTCTTGTTGACCAGTGATCCATGAGGCATCAACCTGAGCGTGGTTGCGTGCACGTGCGAATTCGTATCTTGCATTCACATACCTACATACAGCACTGTTCATTAGAATCCGATCATTGGGAATTAGTTGCTAGACACCCACTGTTATAGTTACCTCGTAGTAAACAGAGTCTCCGTGGAGGACATCGTCCAAACCTCCTGGTCGCTCTTCGAAGGTCGGCCACGTTTCGACTGCGACTTGGAGGCTGCCTCCGGAGCTGCAGAGGGCGGTTGCAGCTCACCAGAAGCGACTGGAGGCACATCATATTGGGGGAAGGCAGTACTGTGCTTGCGCTGGAGTATCTTGGCCAGCGCGAGTTTCACCATCGGTAGCAGGCGACAAGAGGAGCTCCATGAACCGCGTAGGTGCTTGCATGGCGACACTATGCAAGTTTCCAAGTGCAGGTAGCCAACCGTCTCTGTGTAACGATTTTGAAATGATATGCAGATCTCCAACAGTATTCCTAGACCGAGATAGCTGGGTTCGACGTCGGGGAATTGTTCACTCGCTTGTTCCCAGACTTAGACACCGACGGAGATACCAGGTCCTGAGTGGCCAACTCCAATTCTGAACACAAACAACTCATGGTGGATTTATAAAATATGTGTGGTTTCTTCCATGTTGGCAATACGGATAGCCCGAGATCCAATACAGTGGGCCCAATGTGCTGAACTGCTCCGATAGGAATAATGTCAGGTAGCTAGCTATCTGCGGCAGGATATATCGCTGGCCACTCAGACTTGTGAAGGTTGTACCATAATTGCCGCCGTTGGACGGCTAAAGTGTTCATCCCGAAATCATTCGCTATGACACCTTCTATCAGCAAGTATGTCTAATCTAGCAATCATTGGCGATAACAACATCGTTTACTAGGCAATTGGGCTTCAGTATGTATTCACTTAGTGGATATTTGCTCCTCAATTACCTCTATCCGTACCAGACGTATTATCAGGTCACTTCAAATGCCTTCAAAGTAAGGTGTTATCAATACGGCCAAGTTTCATGGCGTTCGCCGCTTGAGTCTCCAATGCCTTCATGTTGTCCACTGTTCGACGAATTTCGACACACCACCCTTGACCTTGGTCGATAGCTCCGAGATTGTGCCAACCCCGATGAATCTCTTTTCGTCACCCTCATCGAAACGCCTGAGGAACCTTTTAGGTGTGACACCGTTCTGATTGTCAGCGAG